CTCTCGCCTCGACAGTTCCGGACGTCGCCCATGCTCCATCGGCCCATGGGTGGCGCGCTCCGGGACCCTGTCTGGCCTCTCCTGCTTCCCGGGGATGCCTCAGCGCCTGCTGAGGACTTCATGCCTGCCTGCCGCCGCGGCACGTCTGCCTGCGGCCGGGTTGCTCTCCTGCTTCCCGGGGATACCTCGACGCCTGCCGAGGACTTCGTGCCCGCCGCCGTTGCACGTCTGCCTGCGGCCGGGTTGCGCTCCTTCCTCCCGGGGGGACTGCTCCTCTCTTCCGGGGATACCTCGACGCCTGCCGAGGACTTCGTGTCCGCCGCCGTTGTGCGTCTGCCTGCGGCCGGGTTGCGCTCTTTCCTGCTGGGTTCTCCGTGACACCTACTGCGGCCCCCTTACGACGGCCCGTTCCGGCCCGCCCCCGGTGGGGGTGCCCTCGCCCTCGTTAGGGCCCTCTTGGTTCTCTCTCTTGTCGACCCGGGCTGCGACCCGACAACATGTCCTTTGCAGCTTGTGAATAAATTACTATTCTTGCACCTTCCTTGCACCGCCTCTGACTCCATATCTCTCGGCACTACAAACTGAACATTGTTACTAAAGAGATGCTGGAATTTAAAAAACGACTTACTTATGTTACTATATACACCTAGAATCACCTAATCAGTGTACTGAGTAAATAATATTAAAACTGTGATTTGTGATAAAAGATTTTACTCAACAATTTCAATATTCTCTTCCCGCTCAGGTGTTGATTTGTCGGAACTACAAAGGTGATGTGAACATGGCGGAGATCGACCACTTCCTGCCTTTACTCATGCAACAGGAAGAAGAGGGGCTTCTCTGCCCTGTTCTGTCACGCGGCAACGTCCACTTCATGTGGATCAAACACAGCAACCTCTACCGTATCCATGTCCTAAATATTTCTGGCAACCATTAGTTATGAAGAAATCCAAATAATAACTGTCTAGTCAGCTTTAAGGGACAAAAGTATTGAATTACATCCTTAAAATGTATGGAAGTAAGCAATAACAGTGATCAACAGTAATGTGTAGAATACACCTTGACCTGATCGTGCACAGTGGTGGCCACTACTAACAAGAACTCCAACGCCTCCCTTGTGTACTCCTTTCTATACAAAATTGTCGAGGTGAGTCACACGTACACTACTGCTTAATCTATCTATCTACCTATCTATCTATCTATTTGTGTGAAGAGCCTGTAAAAGTGGGCAGTTAGAGAGAGTGCTAATGTAAACTAAAAGCTGGCAGTTACTCAAAGCCAACACTGATGAGGCTGATGTGTGTTATGTGTATCATTCAGGTGTTCACAGAGTACTTCAAAGAGCTGGAGGAGGAGAGCATTCAGGATAATTTTGTGGTTGTCTACGAGCTGCTGGATGAGCTTATGGACTTTGGATTCCCTCAGACTACCGACAGCAAGATCCTACAGGAGTGAGACATCACAAGATACTTACATTCTGTACAGAGATATAAACCATATTTATATTAATAAGAGTGTGCTGTTATTAATCACAAGACCTTTTTTTTTTTTACTTCCCTTGCAGATATATTACTCAGGAAGGTACCAAGCTCGAGGTGGCAAAGTCCAAGGTGCCGACCACCGTCACCAACGCCGTCTCCTGGAGGTCAGAGGGTATCAAATACAAGAAGAACGAGGTCTTTATTGATGTCATTGAGTCCATCAACGTACTGGTAAGATGCAGGGCTCATTCTTATCATTCTGGTACAATAAGGTTAAATTGTATTATTTTTGCTTGTATTACTTTTACAGAGGTGAGGCACATTTTTATTATGCAAAATAAATCCAAGTGGGAGCCAATACTGCATAGATTTTCTTTTAAAGTAAAAATATATTCAAGAGCAGGATAAGGATGTAGTGTTTTCTTTTGTTTTTATGATGAGGATTTTGCTGTTTAACATCAGATATTTGCTGCCTCTGATTTCACCATCCTTAGCAGTGATAGTAGAGGAGGTATAGTAGTGTCTCTATGTCACAGTACAAGAAGACAACAAAGTTCATTTGACTTTCGATGTAACCTTGTATAATTAAACTATATTATTTATTATCTGCTTGGATTAAATCCCATTTTCATAATAAATAAAACAAATTATATTTATTTCATTTGACCTCAAGTCAAACATTTTTAGCACATTTTAGAACAGCCGCAGTTGACCAATGTTACTTTGACACAATATCTTGGTTTTTTTCTGAGCATTCTTTTTACATTTCATTGTCTCACTTAAAATAGGATTGGTATGATTTATGTATCTATATTTATTCACCACTCTATATGGTTTGTTCAGGTGAATGCCAATGGCAGTGTGATGAGCAGCGACATCGTGGGCAGCATCAAGCTGAAAACCATGCTCTCTGGGATGCCTGAGCTGCGACTGGGCCTCAACGACCGAGTGCTCTTTGCTCTCACCGGACGTACGTCTACAGCCATAACATTATTATCTTTTACTCTATTATTTTAGATAGATCTGTAGCTCTCTTGTACATTAAAGTAATTCCACTGATTGTTTTATTTTGTGTTCAGGTGACAAAGGAAAAACAGTGGTGATGGAAGATGTAAAGTTCCACCAGTGTGTCCGTCTCTCTCGCTTTGATAGTGATCGAACAATCTCCTTCATTCCTCCAGACGGGGAGTCTGAGCTCATGTCTTACCGCATCAATACCCATGTAAGTCCAATTAATTACAAAAATAATTACCACCATATATTCATCCTTAAATGCTTATTGTTAAAATGTTTAATATTAAATGTATTTGTGTCACTTACATGTGCCGCATAATGGTTCACACCTTGCATTTCTTACAAGCTATAAAGCAGAAGTCCTGTAGATACATGTCTGTTTAGATGGTATTTTGCAAAGGATATCGATAAGAAACTATTTTAATGAAATAAATGAAACAAATAAATATCTTATTATAATATTATAATAACTTTCGGCATGAGCAGAAATAATGTGTCTAGTAGTACATCTAAGATAAGATTTATTTTATTGATCCAAATTAGAATATTTTTTAGGAAAGCCTTTTTGACCCTTATAGTGCTATGCATGTCATATTATTTTTGATTCATATTATTAGTAGGCTACTGTTTTGATTGTAAACTTGTATGATGAAACTCTAATCTTCCTCCTTACAGGTGAAGCCTCTGATATGGATTGAATCAGTCATAGAGAAATTCTCTCACAGTCGAGTGGAAATCATGGTTAAGGTACTGGCCACATTTATTGTCTATCTACACTAGCAACAAGATAAAACATTTATTTTTTAAATATATTGTTTCACTGGAGATATATGCTTTAAAAACAAGTAAACTGAAAGCATGACAAATAATAATTGGTTAATAATATAGGTTATCTCATACTTGTTTCAGTTGAGTTCATTTTCCATTGCATTGGATTAGCTTTACAGGTACAGTTCTTTGTTTTTTTTTGTAGGCAAAGGGACAATTTAAAAAACAGTCTGTGGCAAATAATGTGGAGGTGAGGGTCCCCGTCCCCAGTGATGCTGACTCCCCCAAGTTCAAAACCAGCACAGGCACAGCCAAATACGTGCCTGAGAAGAACATGGTGGTGTGGACCATCAAGTCTTTCCCCGTAAGAAATTCACAACTTTGTTTGTTACATGTAAATATTCTTTCCATGTTTCTTCATGTCTTTCTAATCAATTTTGTCTGGGTGTGCATCCATTTATCCATTCAGGGAGGTAAAGAGTTTCTAATGAGAGCTCATTTTGGTTTGCCAAGTGTGGAGAACAATGAGCTAGAAGGGAAGCCTCCCATTACCGTGAAATTTGAAATTCCCTACTTCACAGTCTCAGGAATACAGGTTTGTGTGTGTTTATGCTATGTCTCCTTTAATTGTCAAACATGATCCCAGAGATAGAGCCTGCGGTAGAATAGGTTGAGTCCATTTAAAAGCAAAACACATTTCTGGATCTGAAACCTATCAGAGCCTCATGTATGTTTTTAATATCAATAGGACAATTTTAAAGCTGTAAGCAGATCAATTTGTATTGGGCGTCTACAGTTTTCAGCCTGTGAATAGTCAAGTCAGGTCATGAAGGGCTGATATTGTGTGCTCAGCAAACTAGATGTAATTGAAATAGCTGATTCACTTGAATGTTTCTTGCCTCAACATGTTGGTGTCTCTTTCACCAGGTGCGGTATATGAAGATCATTGAGAAAAGTGGTTATCAGGCTTTACCATGGGTCCGGTACATTACACAGAGTGGAGGTATAATTATTCTTATTTATAATCAAATGACCTACTGTTTTCAGAACATATACAAATATGATGTGATATGGGTGCACAAGTTCAATCTCCTTTAATTTAACATTAACATTTGTTCTCTTTTCATTTAGACTACCAGCTGAGGACTAATGTGTAAAGCCTGCCAGAAGAACATGAATAATCACTCTAACTGGACTGAAAGAGTCTTTTAAATTTCAGCAGCTCAATTTAATGTCAGCTATTTTGTTTTATGATATCTGTGTGCAGCTTGATTGTTTTATTGTGGGACAACTGCAAATTATTTAAATGCTTAATGAAATGATTTATTTTAAAACGAATCTTTACAACTGGCCTTTGTATTTTTGTTGTGCCCCTTTTGTTTATTTCATGAGTTTACAACCACATAAGGGTCGTTTTTGTCATCACATTTTATACATGCCTTGTGCAATCACAGTAACTAAATTCCGCCTAAATTAAAAACGTACCCGCCTTTTTTCAACACTTGTCTCTGGAGAAATACAACCTAAGGTCAGAAATGTGAATGAACAGCCTTTGAAGATATCAACGTATACCGCTTTCTTCGCTACGAGCTCTGATTGGTCGACTGCTGCTGTTACCACAGTGATGGTGTAGTAACAGAGTTGTAATCCCGCCTCTTTTACCCTATTTGGAAGAGCAACACCCTCTAGGCAAGCTATGATTGGTCAGCCTATGTCCACTCCAATGTTTGTAAATTGTAGTCTTGATACACCGCTGTGTGGATCTCAGCGCGCAAATGTATTTTCTAATGTGGACAAAGTTTCCTTGTTTGGATTTTATTTAAAAAGTACTGGTCTTTAAAAACTGCGGGATAGAAAATCATCTCGGCTTTCTGGATCTTAAGGAACCTAACAAGGTATGCGTAAAAGCTCTCTGGTTTGTTCTCTTGTTGTTAGTGTTAGCGGTTAGCCTGGTTGCTAATTGTTTGTAAGATATAGTGAACGTGACTTGTATGTATCTGCTGTTAACACATGTTTTCAGAGCTGTGTTGTTAAAACGAAAGATTTGTAGAAACGACCTGATGTAACATTACGCTAGTACAGTCGGATAACATGGCGTCAACGGGGAACTGAATCTTACGTTAGCCGGATGCTGTAGTAGCTAGCTAGCAAAGTCTACCTTCCTGAATCCTGACCTATTTACAGTCCATTCTACGTTTATTAATACCACCACAAGAAGCCCATGGTTGTAGTTTCGTTTTCATTGTTGTACATCTCCTGTTGACCAGGCTGAAAGACAGACTATAATGGTCTTAAATCAGATGGATGACGGTAAAGCTTTGACGGCGGCGGCAGCCAAAGGAGACCGGAGCGAGGTGCGGAGGATCCTGGAGGAATGCAGAGTGCACCCTGATAATCTCAATGAATTTGGCAGGACTGCACTACAGGTGAGGACCAAAGCCCTATGAGTGTTGATAAAGGTTTCTTATTAATTGAGGTATTGACTAAACAAATACATATACTGTAGAAAAACATTAGTCCAGTCCAGGTGGTTCTTCGGTTAAATGTCCCTCTCCTTTCCTCTTGAGATAACAGTAGCCTAATATGGTTATCTTGGACAGTTTCCTGTTATGAATAAGTTAAAGTGCCGTGTATTTAAGTTAAAACCCTGTTTTATGTTATACGATATATATATATCACTTCAAAAATAATACCCCAATCCGAGTACTGGGGGATTTGATATTTGGGTAATATATTTAAGCGGCTGTGACGCACTGGGTTATTGCGCTGATCTTCAGCCTTGCTTGGGCAACACATTTCATCCGAAATTGCTCGTGTGGGTATTGTCCACAGTATTCAATGTATTACATGTCTAATATATGTAATATAATGTGTTGTAAAGCGCTAATATAAATGTCATGTATTATTATTCATTAATTAATTATATTTGGGCAACACCGACATCGCATACAAACAAGATTAACTAGCTATTTCTGGAACATTTTACGTTTTGACCAAAAAAGAGGATAAACGCTCAGTTGCCACTTTATTAACTTCACTTTGAACTAATTGTAGTCCAATACAACCAATCGGCCTTAATGAGTGTTATAATCAATTAGTTTTGTTAAACGTTGGTCTTTGAGGCTCTTTATGGTGCTGTCTAACTGTGTTGTTACACAGTGTTGCTTCTAATACTTACTAAATAAATACTATGTATACAATCAAGAGCAAAGCGATAGTATTGCTGCATTGTTCTCTTTATAATTTTGTTTGTATCATCTTTTGAAAAGTTCAGTTCACGAAATGTCAAAATAGAGAAGAATATTCACTCGATAATCCAGATCTCTAAATGTTACGTCCAACCAATAATACCAAAACATTATATATTTGCAATAGCTAATTAAGTCAATACATAATAATAATAGATTAAGTTAATAAAAGTGAGAACTGACTGAAAAAGATATCTGTATTTATTTTTTATAATGTCATTAACCCTTTACACAGTTACTGTTTTTATGAATGTATTCTCCCTGGGTTAAATTTAACAGATCTTCTAATATTTTTCTTTCATGGCTTAAATGATAAATGTATACTGGTGTAGTGATTTCTGTGGACGTCCTTAACATGAAAATGTATTTGAGAGGATCTAATGTTACAAATAGCGCTTTAACCACAGCTGCTGAATTTCTCTCTTTCCCTCTTTAATACCTGTTGCAGGTGATGATGATGGGGAACTCAAAGGTTGCGAGTTTGCTTTTGGAAAAAGGAGCAAATCCCAATGTCCAGGACAAGCATGGGATAGCACCCGTCCATGATGCAGCCCGGACAGGATTCCTGGACACTCTGCAGGTTCTGGTGGAGTACGGTGCTTCGGTAAACATCCCTGACATGAAGGGCGCCCTGCCCATCCACATTGCCATTAAGGAAGGCCACCGGGATGTTGTGGAGTTCTTGGCACCGCATTCCGACCTGAAGCACGCCAACATCAGCGGTCAGACAGCGATAGATGTGGCCCGAGCTTCGTGTGCGCCTGATATGATTGAATTGCTTTACTCTCACATTCATAGTTAGTCAGGGTTCTGGGGTGCTTTTGGGTGACCCTAACCAATCTTTTTTTTTTTTGTCAAACCTGGTGACTTGAATTCATTGCTGTGTAAAGGATTCTTTTTTTGTTAATAGTGGCTCAGCCTTAATATGTGACGCAGGACATGTTGTTCTGGCAGCTTATTGTCAGTGGATGGGTGACTATATACAGTAGACACCTCTTTTGCACAGTGCAATTCAGGCACCTTATATTTCCCTTTGAATTGGGAGTGCACATTTTGTAGATAGTTGCCCCATTGAATTGCATTATTTCCATTGTGTAACAGTCGAAACCTTGCATGTGTTTTTAAACACTTTTACAGAACTTGACATGGTGCACCCTGATCGCTTTTCATAGTTTTGTTTCTCTTAATTAGATGTACTTAGACTTTGAATTTACCCGTATTTATTTTTTTGATGTGTCTTTGTAAATAGCAACATTTATTGTGATTTGTTGAAATGTTATTTATATAAAGACTATAAAGTGAGTTTATTCACTTTACTATTTGAAGAAGAAAACACAAAATAAAGTGTTGAACTTGAAGTACGGATCTGAGTGTTTTATTTTTAACCGTGTTCGTTACCATGACGTTGACTAGACCCTCATGTACTCTGACGTCCGGACTGCAGCTACCATTGAGGATAGTCAATTCTGTAATTTCTCGGACTGATTGGCTTTTATAACCGTGGCTTATATATGATGCTTTTTTACTTATATTGAAATATATATTATATATTGTTTTCTTTTATTTGGGAGGCAGTAGGGTCCACAGTGATTATAATTAAGATAAAACAACATTCTGCTACATGTTTTTGCTTTTACTGATTTGTTTTTAATTGGCTCTTTTTCTTGCCTATAATATTTTAAATGTAATTAATTACAGGAAACTCAATGACTTAGCAACAAAGGGCGCCGAGTAGACATTGCTTTAATTTGGGGGGAATGGGTGGGTGATGAAAAGGGCTTGGAATCACTGACAAACATATTTTTTTGTATTTGCAAGTCTTAACAATCTGATACTCTAAATACTTTTTAGTACTGAAAACAAACAAAAATACTATTAAATCATAACTTTAAATTCATTTAGGATTATTTGGCCTTTGTAACACCATTTTCCTTTTCATAATCTAATGTATTATCAGTATTGTGTTAGCTCCATGAATCCTCAAGTGTTCAGCACTTCTCCAAGGTGATGCATGAAGGGCATTCATAATAACTGCACACTGGAATGCACTGCACAGTGAAAACCCTCTCAAAGGTCATGCAGATAGCAGGATGGAAACTCAAAATGAATGAGGGCCCTGTTGTCTTGAGGCTTGTAGGTAACGGTGGCACAGTGTGCTGATGTTTGTGAGGGCAGATATAGTACAATGGGTATTCTGTTTGCTTGTGTGCCATGGGGCCAACTACACTGTCAGAGAAAGGAGATACAGTTCAACCACTGTGCTGCTGGGCCGCAGAGAGGACCTGAAGGCTGTCACAGAACATGTAATACAATAAAAGTACAATTTGATGCAGTATTTTTACTTGTAATGGGGTGTTTTTTGTTTGTTACAGTGTGGTATTGCTTTAAAATACGGATTCCAACACTGCAGTCTCCATTTTCATATTGTTTTTACCTTTCCCTTTCAGATTTACATAGACACTTTAGCTGGGAGATGCACAGTCCAACCACATTATTTGAATTGAGAGCATTAACTATTCTACTGGAGCAGCTCCACGTTAAATACCTAGTTGTTCTTCAGCTCTAGTTATTGAGGAGTAATTTACTTCCGCACCAATTTTCTCGCAACAAGTCGTCCTTCTCTGTCTTTTGTGCTTCCACTATATTATCTTGTGTAATAAAGTCACACAAATACAAATTATGTTCCAATACACACACACAAAACCGTTTTTAAAGATGATATTCTCAGACAGCCCTGCCTCCTGCCACCAGGTAGAGCTCCCTTTCTTCACAAAGAACACATGTGGGTGTATGCTGGATGTGCAAACGCTCTCTGTGTAAACACTGGTGTGTTTCGTTCGTCCTGCAGGTTGGGTGGGTTTCAGTAACAGTGACTCGTTTGCAAACAGCAAGAAGTAGTAGGAGTAAACAAGAAAAACCAGTATGGGGCTACTCCCCCACTCAAACAGATACAGGAGTGCTGGGGGGTTTGTACCCGTGCTCCCCTGATCCAAACACCAACGTACTAGTCCACTACGCCACAGCCTCCCATCCCATGATGTCACATGGGAATACGTCAGCTTATTAGAAATGAGAGAAGGACTGAACTGTTTAACAAACCTGTCTGACTGACTGCATGTGTACACTTTGTTTTTAAACTCAGACCCCTCTTCCAAAAGGATGCTCATTGACCTCTTAAAAAAGCAACATCCACATACACAAATATTGGCATCTTAAGGGATATTCTATTAATCATTGAAGTAATTTGTATGTGTTCTATTGTAAATAGTACTATTTTAAATTGTGTCTCTTGGGATGGCATGGAATCGAGACACAATTTAAAATACTACAATTTATAATAATACTACAATTTATACAAATAATTGAAGATTGGGGATTTGCATTTTACAATATACACACCTTTACAAATATACATTTTTCATGATATTTTCATGATATATTATACATATTTTCATATTTCTTGACATACTAGACTTTTTCCTGATATTTTTGACAGAAAAAAATGTGTTCATATTTTTCGAGATACTATATTGTGATTTTTTTTTGTTTACCATTTTTGTACACATAGTATCATATGACTATACCTTTATTGCTACACTATAAACTATAACTTTATACCCTACTATAAAAATTGCTATTGCTCTTCTCAAATGTGTCAAATTTCATACTATGACATTTTTGATATACTATGACTTTTTTTCCTATTTTTCGATACACTATATTACTTTTTTCAAATGTTTTGACATATATATACTACGACTTTTTAAGACATACTATGACTTTTTTTCAATGTTTTCGACAGACTGTCTTATGAGTTCTTTAAATATTATAGTAAAGTTTGTCATAAAAAATAATACAAAAAACTCAGTTTAGTTATAAGCCTTACATATCTTTTAAACAAAAATATTAGTCGTGTGTGAAAAAACACAACGAGCCAACCGTCTTGGAAACATGTTTTTCATAATAAGGCCAACAATGATGCAATCTCATTCGTTTTATTTACAGTTTTTTTCAGTTGTTAACTCACACAAATCTCACATAAAGCATAATTATCCCACTCAAAGAGCAAAACCTCAGCTCAAATCTAACACATGTTCACACTGCACCCAATTTGCAATTCAACTTGACACGTTTTGCAAAACACTGCACACGGTTCTCTAAGTAAGACAGAGAAAATGCTACACATATGAACCAATAAACAAATACACATGCCAAATGACTATGAACACCAAACTGCTTTATTGTTGACTCAGCAATCAGGATGTAAGCACTAGAAAAAAGCTACTTGTAAGAACTTTTCACAACAACAATGGATTTATGGACATACTGTAGCAGGAAGAGGAAGAGGTAGAGGGAGGATAAGAGGTTGAACTGAAGTCAGATGAAGAGTTATTTGCAGCATAACGGATGAAGCTGTATGACCGTCAGGCCTATAGCTGATGCTTCTTCTGCAGGATGATAAAGGTGCGGTGGCCAGACCCAGCTAGGTGGTCAAATGCAGACTAAGCACTTTTCTTACCTCTGTTTTTTGTAAAAATATGTTTTGTGTTTATTTTTCCTCAAAGTGTTCCTTTCCATTTACTGTATTTGACAGAGGCATCATTTGTGTTTACACAACTGTAACTATGTGTTGTGCATGAATGTAGCTCACATTTGTTTTGGAGAAAGATAAAAGTATAACAGTATATTTGTGTTTCTGCACATATTTTTGTAAACTTGAACAATCTTTATATGCAGAATTCTCTACATACAGAACGCCATAAAAGATGTGTGCTTTAGATAAAGCACCAGTGTGTAGTTGGTTGGGCAAAGTGTCTTGTACTATAAGATAAGTGTGTGCCATTTGGTGCAAAAGTTTATGTAGTTTCGGGTGCATTGCTTCATTTTGCAAGATATACGAGGTGTTTATTGTGTTTAGTGTTTTGACAAAATGAGCCCCTGTCAAAAAGATGCGTTTTAGCAATTGAAAAAAACTGTAATGCTGGGGAATCACTGCCCCCTTTAGAGAGGAATAGAAATAGGTAAATGATTGACAAAGAATGATGACAATGTCACCTCCTTTGTAAATAAAGAAAACAAACGTAATCCTTTCTCAAGACCTTGGGAATCGTGTTGCAGTGTGGGAAGGTCAGTGTGTGCTCCATTTATACTTTCGTGAACTGACGGACACGATCCCATTTTGTAACGATGCAAGCCAGGACCTGCACTAATGTTCAGGCTAGAAAGTCTTGACTGAAGTACACAGAGATAACTTAGGGGGAAAGAAAGAAAGAATGTGGGACGGAAGGAATTGTGCCCTTGTTTGTTTGGCAATGTCTTTGTCCAGGTGCTCTCAAACTAAATATAAATCATATACAAATGTAAACAACTACTGTGTAATACTTCCTCAAATTACAAATGAGCAACTATAGATGTGAGCAACTTTAAGAGCATAACATTGTTTCAGTATGTTTTTCTATGTGTTTGCCCCACAGTACGATGTGCAACACATTCAATCAAATAAACAAGAAATAATTCCCAATGATTGACTTTAAACGCTTAATTGGGCAAAAAAAGGAAGTAACAAATAAAAATAAAGAGTGAAGAATCATTTGTTCAACGTGTCACCCATAACCAAAGACAATATATTAATGCATTTTAAAGACAGTGGTTTTATCTCCTCTTTGTTCATTATTATATGATTTTATGCACAATAAATATCATGCAGACTTCTGATTCATAATCCCATGTACCATTTCAGTGAGATGAAAACCTATTATTGTGCTCGTGAAAGGCCTTTTCTCCTTCTGCCTAACAGGGAGCAACATGAGACCGCACTGTGGGAAACTCTTCTCCAGGCTGTAAAACCCGTCCAACAGGATACAGCGTGGTTAGATATCCCTTGAGTTTTGCTCTAAAGAACCTGCAAACTATTCAGTAAAGAGGGGAGACGCTAGAACAATGTGAAGGTCAAGACGTGCTTGCTGTTGAATACTTTTCTTGTCCACAGTATTATCAATCTGCCCTTGAATTTAAAACATGTCTGATAATATTACTGTGTATGCACTAATAAAACAAGTTCATGAACAATCCAAGTAAGTGAGGTATTTACAGGACACATACACTTTGTAAAATATTTATTTAAAAAAGGTAGTTTTTAAGAAAATGCATAGAAAAACGTTCACAATGATGTTTCACTCTAACACAAATTTGAACATACACTTCGTGATAACAGTTATTATAAATACGTTTTCCAGTGTTTGGGTAACCTTTAGTAGTCAGTTATAGTTTTGGTTTCATGCTTTTTTTATTGGAGAAATTCCACCATCCAGTGGCATGGTCCCTTTTCTGACCAATATGCTACACTGAGAAA